TTAGCATTTTAACGCAAAAAGAAACATTGGAATGCCAATGGACTTTGATATTTAGCAGGACTAAAAATCAACATAGTATTACCCTGCTGTAGGCTCAATGGCTCCAGGCAATTTCCTAACCTGATCATCTTTATACTGTTTACCAAACTTTATCTTTGATCTGCCTGTATGCATTGCTAAAGAGAAAATGTGTGTTCAAGTAAATAAAAAACAGATCAGGTCAGAGGTCAGTGTGTCCCTTCAAGAAAGAGGTCTCCACCTGGCCTCCAAGGCCTTCTAAATTCATATTTCTTGTCTAGTACTTTCATTTGTGAATCTGCCCTGCTTTCAGATCCTGACCCCTGCCTCGAAGGTGGTGGCATTGGTGTAGGTGGATCTTTATTGCCCCTCCTCTCAGATCCAAACTGGCAATACAAGTAAAACTATATTGGGGAACATTCACTCTGAATTAGCAACTGAAGACTAGCTGAAGAAGAGACTTTTAAAAATAAATAAATAAATAAATAAATAAACCTTTTATTTATTTTTTAAATTATTTTTTCTAATTTTTTAATTTTTAATATATATTTTTATTGTTAACAGATTACAAATGTCTCCCACTTCCCCACCCTTTTTATCCCCTTCCTCCCAGCCTCTACCTCCCCTCCTTCTCCCAGGTCTTCATCACTCTATTGCCTGTGTCCATGGACTATGCATGTAAGTATATAAGCCCTTTGGTTTGTCTCTTCTCATCCTCCCATCCCCACATCGAGGTATGTCAGTTTGTTCCATGCCTTCATGCTTCAGGCCTTATTTTGTTGGTCAATTCATTTTGTTCATTAGATTCCATTCCAATAAGTAAGATCATGTGATATTTGTCTTTCTCAGATTGGCTTATTTCACTTAGCATATTAGTCTCCAGGTCCATCCATGCTGTCCCAAAGAATAAGGGATCCCTCTTTTTTACAGCTGCATAGTATTCCATTGTGTAAATGTCCCACAGCTTTTTCATCCATTCCTCTACCGATGGGCATTTAGGCTGTTTCCAAATCTTAGCGATTGTAAATAACATAGCTTAGGTGGCCTATGAAAATAGAGAACAAAGACCCAATTAAAGCCATTGTGCCAACTAAACCCAAGGATAAATGAAGTCAAACAAATAACAAAACCCCATTAAAGCCAGACAGACCTAAGATAAAAGTAAAAGAGTAAATCAGACCAAAGAATAAACCAAAAGTCCCCTATGCACTCATTTTGATGCGTCAGCATATTGCAAATGCACCTGGAAAGCTGATGAACATTCTACTGAATTCTCCCCTAGATTCTTGCCTGCAGGGGTTAGGGGGGGAGGATAAAAAGCCCTCAGGACAAAGACTCCATGTGAGCTTGCCCTGAAGCACACCCATGCCCCTTCCCAGGCATGAACTTTTCATTTCTAAGGGTCCCTACACGACTTGCATCCAGGGGAACATGGGCAGTGGTAGCTCCACCCCTGATCCTGTCTCCCAGGCCCCCTCTACCTCTGACCTCTCAGTGAGCTAAAGCAGCCCCGCTAGGCTCCCTTCTTTCCTATAACATTTCTTAGAGAGCCAAGAAAACAGCCTAGTCAGAGGAATGGCCCTCCGAGGGCGCATCTCTCCTCTCCCCTTACCATCTCAACCAAACAGCCACCTGCAATTCAATAAAGACGTCCCTGCTCAGCACCAATGCACGCCTGAGAGACCTGCGCCCTGGAACAACTAAGGCGGGCTCCCTGGCCAAACAGGGCAGCGTGTCTGCTGTCTGCGCGGCAGGAAACTGGCAGTTATGGGCACTTCCCTCAGCTGGCTGGGAGGAACAGAGAGCTAACCCAGCAAGTGACTAGCTGATGGAGTTGCCACTGGCGTGACGGCACTATGTGGTCGTGCACGCAAGCAGTGTGTGTCTGAAGCGTGAGGGCATGTTGGGAATGGAGTCTCAGTTGCACGCGTGAGCTGAGAGCCAGCAGACACCCGCCCTGCAGAGCTGCTCTGCACGGCTGGGCCTGGCTGCGGGCTTTCAGGCAAAGGAAGGAAATCGCAGAGCCCTGCCACTGATTAGACTCCCAAATCTCGCTTCCCATCGCCTTTGGCGTTGGCTCCAGGAATGGATTGTCTGTAGGCCAAGAGCTGTTGCAGGAGAAACACAATTTCCCTCTGTGACTGAACCCCAGGAGGGGTGCTTGGGCTGGACCTGCAGAGGTCAGGAGTAGCCATCAGGGGAAAACAAACCCTAGCCTCAAGCAACAAAGATGGTAAGTGCTACGGACGCCCCAGGAGGCTCAAAACTGTGAGACCACAGAGGATTAAAAATCTTGCAATTCAGTGCCATCTACTGGAACAGAGTAGAAAGACCTCCTCAGAGTTAAATGGAAAGCAAAGAACAGTGAATGCGTAAGCAATCACAACAACAAGGATGACCAGAAAGATAAAGAAAAAGTCCCCAGAAAACAGACTGGAACACATGGAATGATGCAAGTTGAATGACAGAGATTTCATGGGTGCAGTTCTGAAAATACTCAATGAGATGCGAGAAAATGCTGAAAGGCAATTCAAGGCACTCAGAAAACAAATCAATGGACAAAATGAGTATTTCTCCAAAGAAATTGAATTTAAAAAAAAAAAAGAATCAAGCAGAAACCCTGGAAATGAAGCAGGCAGTTAAAGAAATTAAGAGTGAGCTGATGCGCATAGAAAATAGAACCAACCAGTTAGAGGAAAGAATTTGTGCTATTGAAGATAGGAATCAGCCCCTAAGGTTGATTAGACTCACTAAGGAAAAAAGGGGGAAGACCCATATACAAAATCAGAAATGAGAAAGGAGAAATCACCACAGACGTCACAAATATACAAAGGATCATACTAGAATATTATGAAAGCCTTTATACCACCAAATTCGATAACCTAGAAGAAACTGATAAATTCCTAGAAATATATAACCTTCCTAGACTAAATCATGAAGAACTGGAAAATCTAAATAGGCCCATCAGCAGGGAGGAAATTGAAACAACCATCAAAAACATCCCAAAAAGCAAAAGTCCAGGACCAGATGGTTTCACCAGTGAATTCTACCAAAGGTACAAGGAAGAATTAAAACCTATTCTTTTCAAACTCTTTCAAAAAATTGAATAAGAAGCAATACTTCCTAACACATTCTATAAAGCCAATATAACCCTGATACCAAAACCTGGCAAAGATAACACACAAAAAAAGAAAACTACAAACCAATATCCCTGATGAATATAGACACAAAAATCCTAAACAAAACACTAACTAATCGAACATAGTAGTACATCCAAAAAATAATACATCATGATCAAGTGAGATTCATTTCAGGGGTACAAGGATGGTTCAACATCCCCAAATCAATCAACATAGTACACCACATTAACAAAAGAAAGGATAAAAATCATATGATCTTGTCAATAGATGCAGAAAAAAACATTTGATAGGATACAAAATCAATTTATTATTTAAATGCTCAATAAAATAGGAATAGAAGGAAAGTACCTCAACATAATAAAGGCCATATATGATAAACCCTCAGCCAATATTATTCCTTTTGCAATAGCAACCAAAAGAATAAAATACCTAGGAATAAACTCAACAAAGAATGTGAGAGACCTACATAATTAAAATTACAAAACATTATTAAAAGAGATTGAAAAAGTCACAAAGAAATGGAAAAATATCCTGTATTCACGGATTGGAAGAATCAACATAGTTAAAATGGCCATTTTATCCAAAGCAATATACAGATTTAATGCAATCCGCATCAAAACCCCAATGTCATTTTTTAGAGAAATAGAATGAGAAATCATTAGATATGTAGGGAAGCACAAAAGACCCAGAAAAGCCAAAACAATCCTCGGGGGGGGGGGGGGGGAATAACAAGGCTGGAGGTGTCATGCTACCTGATTTCAAAACATACTGCAGAGCTACAATACTCCAAACAACATGGTATTGGAAGAGAAACAGTTACGCAGATCAATGGAACAGAATAGAGAGCCCAGCTATAAAACCACACATATATGGACAGATAATTTTTTACAAAGGATCCAGAAATGCATATTGGAGTAAAAATAGTCTCTTCAATAAATGGTGCTGGAAAGCCACATGCAAAGGAATGAAACTGGAAAGCCACATGCAAAGGGATGAAACTGGGTTGCAGTCTGTCCCATGTACAAAAATTAACTCAAAAATGGATCAAAGACTAAGACGCAAAACTATGAGTCACATAGAGAGAAATATAGTACCAAATTTATGGGCCTGGATGGTAGAGAACATTTTATTGATTTGGCCCTATAGGCTAGGGAAGTAAAGGCAAAAATAAATGAATGGGATTATATCAAACTGAAGAGCTTCTTCACAGCAAAAGAAATGGGCAACAAAACAAACAGGCAGCCAAACAGATGGGAGATAATATTTGCAAACAGTAGCTCAGACAAAGGTTTAATTTCCAAAATATATAAAGAACTCATAAAACTCAACACCAAACAAATGAGCAATCCGATCAAAAAGTGGTCAGAGGACCTGAAAATACACCTCTCCCAAGAAGACATACAATAGCCAATAGATAGTAGTATATGAAAAGATGTTCAACCTCACTGGCAATTAGGGAAATGCAAATTAAAACTACAATGAGACATCACCTTACACCAGTTAGAGTGGCCATTATCAACAAGACAAGCAACAACACGTTTTGGAGAGGTTGTGGGAAAAAGGGAATCCTCATTCATTACTAATGGGAATGTAGACTGGTACAACCACTATAGAAAGCAGTCTGACAATTCCTTAAAAATTAAAAATAGAGCTACCCAACAACCTCACTCCTGGGCATGCACCCGAAAAACTCACAATCATTTATATGCAAAGATATATGCACCCCTAAGTTCATTGCAGCATTATTCATGGTGGCTACGACTTGGAAACAGCCAAAGTACCCTGCGATGGAGGACTGGATAATGATGTGGTGTATACACAATGGAGTACTACGTGGCCATAAGAAAGGATGAAATAGCATATTTACAACAACATGGATGGGCCTTGAAAACATTATGCTAGGTCAGTGGTCGGCAAATTCATTAGTCAACAGAGCCAAATATCAATTGTACAGTGATTAAAATTTCTTTTGAGAGAGCCACATTTTTCAAACTCAAACTTCTTCTAATGCCACTTCTTCAAAATAGACTCGCCCAGGCCATGGTATTTTGTGGAAGAGCCACACTCAAGGGGCCAAAGAGCCTCATGTGGCTCGAGAGACACAGTTTGCCGACCACGATGCTAGGTGAATAAGTCAGACAGAAAAAGCTAAGAACTATATGATTTCACTCATATGTTGAATATAAAACTGAATCTTATGAACACAAACAGTAGTGTGGCGGTTGCCAGAGGGAGGGGGTGGGGGAAGAGTGGGGTCCTAATATGAGGTGACAGGAGGAGATTTGACTTTGGGTGGTGGACACGTGGTCCTATATACAGATTTTGTAACTTAGTAATCCACACATGAAATCTATATGTTTATGCTGACTAATGTCATCCCAATAAAATTTAATTAAAAAAATAAAACATCCTAAGATGATCTCAAAAAAAAAAATCATGTACCACCTAGAGTCTAGGTCCTAGACTCTCTCCTGTTGTTTCTTCTACCCGTGTTTCTTCCTTTGTTTCACTGTCCCCAGCGTTAATAAACATACTCTCAAGTCCACCTGGACTCATGTTGTGAAATCTTTCCTACAGGAAATCAGGGACCCGCACACTACAGGCCAGCCTGAGGCAAACCCACTCCAGTAATAAAGGGATGGGATAAATGTAGCTGGCCTCTAAAATGACCCCAAGGGAACAAAACTGGAAGAAAAAAGGTTCTGTTTTGTTTTTGTTCCTTCACTCATGGGAACGAAATTGCTCAGAGAATAGGATAACCATGGAACAATTATTTTAATGAAGATTTGTGAGAATCCAATCCCTAAAGCCCCAGAAACAGTACTATCTCCCTTACTTCTCTCACCTACAGATCAACTACTCCAGGAAGGAGGGAGTCTGTGCTTTTCAGAGCACAGATGCCTGATTCCTCCTCCCTGCCCTTCCTTGGAGCTGGGTTAAATACCCATGACCTAGGGAAGGAAGGACCAAGGAAACTAGTGGTTCGGCAATACCATCAGATATCTGCTGTGGCAAACAGGTATGGAGGCACACAGAGCTCTAAAGGATGAACTTTGATGGTACCAACGGGGATAGCACAATAATGAGAATCCATTTACTTATGCAATACAATTCCTTTATCTCTCCATTTCTCTTTCTCTCAGCTTCCATTTCTCCCTCTTCTGGGATTCAATTCCAAGGATCTCTGACCACTATAAAGGAAATACTTTCTCTCTGCCCCCAACATCTGTCAAGAGTTTCATACCCAGCCACCTTAGCCATTTATTCAGGAGCCACTACAAATTCCTCTATCAAAGATTTACCCATAATATTCTTCTATCTATAAAACTGTATTCAGTCATTTACTCACTCCTTCATTCAAACAAGAAACATTCTCTGGAATTCTGCCTAGTGAGGATTTATAAGTTTATTCATGCCTCTTGTGATCTCAAGTTAACTAATCTTTCTGTGTCTTAGTTTCCACATTTGTAAAATGAGAATACTGAGAGTATCCTCTTCATAAGGATAATATGAAAACTAAACAAAAAGATAAACAATGGGAAGATTTTTGTGTCTATCACCTAGTGAACATCTATACATTTCAATTGTCACCATTGTATTATTGTAAGCAAAAATCATTGTTAAAATTAAAAAAAAATCGTAATGATAATAAAAATAAGCCAAGGCATATAAAATATAGCACAAGTACTCAACAGATGGAGAGCCTCAAGAAACTTTAGCTAATTTAGTAAATTTATCACTCTCATTTTTGTGTATTTGCAAGTTTCCAGTACCTGTTTCAAGACATTTAAATTTTTGTTAATATGTGAAATAATTATAATCTATTTTCTAAGAGATTTTCCTAAACATGTAAGCACTGCTGGAGTTTTGTGTGTTTTTTTCCCCTTGCACCCACTTTTTGTTAATTTTTATTTTTGGATAATTTTAAATTTATAAAAAATTTACAAAGACAGTACAGTGAGTTCCCATAATTATGAAATGTTTTGGAACAAGATGGAAACAATGGTTGCAAAACATTCTGAAAATACTTTATGTCACTGAATGCCACTTTAAAATGGCTACTGGTGCCCTGGCCACGTGGCTCAGTTGGCTGGATCTTTGACCCATACATCAAAAGGTTGTCGGTTCAATTCTCCATCAGGCCACATACCTAGGTTGCAGTTTGATCCCCTGTTTTGTGTAACCGTCTTGCTAAGACTATGCACAGCTAAAGGAGGTTTTCAGCTGCCAATTCATTATCTCCAGCTCATGCATCATCTTTAAACAACGGAGAGTTGCCTTTTCATTATTAGGTCTCTTATATCTGTTTCTCCTTGCATAGCATTGGTTGAAACTTCCCAAGAGTTAATAAATAACATTAATGATGGCAGACTTTCTTTTCTTCTTTAATACTTGAAGGAGAATTCTTCTATTGTTCCTGCCAGAAGATCCCATTTTTGGTGGCAAGGTGGTGAGTTTTAATGTGTATTTAATTCCTTCCTGCATTGTTATCCTACATCCTGAATCAACTTTGGAAACTCATATTTTCTTAGAAAACAAATTCATAATATTACTTACTGAGTGAATTTAAGCATTTCCTTACCTTTGTATTCATTTTTCTCATTCCTAATTTTAGGCATTTCTGCTCTTTCTCTCTTTTTGTCTTTTTTTTATTAGACTTCTGTCTAATTTTGTCTGTTTGTTTGCTTTTGCCAAGAATTAGCTTTACATTTTATTTTTCAGTTTTAAAATTTTTCGTCTGTTTAATGCATGAACTCTGTTTTTACCTTAACTTTCTGCTATACCTAGGTTTGTTTTTTTAACATCTTCACATTTTATTAAGTGTTTCTTTCTTGAAGATAGACTGCATGTGTGTTCATTTATACTTTTGAATGAAGTAATAGAAGAAAGTAGGTCTAAAAATCAAGATTCATGTTACCACTCAAAGATTATTCTTGTCCTATTTTGGTGTATCTTGCTTTAGATCAGTTTTTCTTGATGTTGTGCAAATATGTGTTTAAACATGAAAGATATGTATGCTGTTTTGATTTCTCCAATCTGGGAACGTAGACAAAGTATCCTTTTATTGTTATTTCTCTTGCCACATGATGAATTTTGCATTTTTCTTTCTTTTTTAAAAAGGCTTCTTAATTCCCTCAGTGAAAAAGGTGTCTACTTTAATTTTACCCTTGTAAATTTAGAGTAGAATAAAAATTTTCTCAAATATTTAATTACTCTTTTTTTGTGGTTGTTAATCCTCGCCGGGGATATTTTTCCCATTGATTTTTTTTAGAGAATGGAAGGGAGGGGGAGAGACAGAGAGAGAGAAACATCACTGTGAGAGAGACACATCGATTGGTTGTCTCCCAGGGCTTGGCACTGAATCTGCAAAGGAGGCACATGCCCTTGACCTGAGACCCTTCAGTCTGCAGGCCAACGCTCTAACCACTGAACAAACCAGCTAAGTCACCCTTATGTTTCATTTTATGAATCATTAACAATGCATGCCTTTTACCTAGTTAACACATTAATCTTTTATATTTTATGTAAAGGCTTTTTAAAGATATTAAAATTTAGCAACCAAATAGGGTATTTTTGCATTCTAATTTTCTGGAAGGCACATTTTCTCATTCAGAATTTTTCAATTTATGACCCAATTAATGATTTTTTTCCTTTTATTTGTACCAAAGTCTTTATACTCAGAACTTCTACTTTCAAAGAGTACATATATTCGTGTATAAATTTATATTACCTATATATTTATCTATTTTCCTCTAATAGTCTCTTGCTCCACACTTAATATTTGAAATTTGTTTGGGAACATTAAGATAGGATTTAAAATTGTGTGGGTTTTTTCTATTATAAGTAGTTACTCTCTAAACAATTATTTGTACCTTTAAAAGTTCCTTTAAGGTATTCAGGGATAAAAATTGCAAGTTGGTGCTGTACACACCAGATTGCTTTCCCTTGACCCTTTGCAGTTAGGTGTGGCAATGTCATGAGTTCTGGCTAATCAATGGGCAATATGGATATGTGGGAATTCTGTGTCAAAGTGCTTAATTGTCATTGCAGTTAGTCTAGCTCCCCTTTTCACCTGCTGTCATGCTTATGGATTAGACTTCACATGACTGAAGCTTCCAGATGATTGATGATATGACAGCCCAAATTCAAAGAAGCCTCAGTTACTTCATAAAGAACAATTAGCTTGGGAAATTGTGTTTACATCAGATTTTGCATGAATGAAAAATAAATGTTTATTGTGTTAGCCTCTGAAATTTCGGACTGCTGGTCACTGCAGCATAATTGAGTCTATTCAGACTCATACAGGTATTTTCCTACATTAATGAAAGAAATGTGAAGTGCTAAGCTTCTTTGGAAGGTATATCTAACAGCACCTACTAAAATAAAGGATATATAAACCCTTAGACTGATCTAATTCACCTTTGGGAATTTACATCACAGAAATAAAATTACCAATTCATAAAACCAAAAATAGTTTATTTTTTTTAATTATATATCCTAAATTATGGTGAATGTAAAATTAAATCACAAAATGCTAGGATTATTCCCATGAAAGAAAGAATAAGAATTCCAACTATTACCATAAATTAGAAGTGTTCTCAAATTTCATACCAATACAATAAGACCTAAAGATAAATAGGTGTTGTAAATTAATATTATTTGGAGAAAGTAGGTAAATATTAAAGAAAATCTTTAAAATATAGCATGAGAAATATAGTTAATAATATTGTATCTTGTATGGTGCCAGGTGTGTAATGAAAATAGGGAGAACGCTCTGTAAAGTATGGGATTGTCTAACCACTATGCTGTAAACCTGAAACTAATACAAAATAATATTGAATGTAAACTGTATTTGAAACCTTTTATTTTCTTAAATCTTAAAATTAATCAGATAATGAGTAGGACACCTTATAAATGCAAAAAAAATCAGAAATTTTCCTAACATATTAATAATACCAGAGATAAAATGTAAAGGAGCATTATTCTTAATGGAATTATGCCTAACATGCATGAGAATACTTTGTATTTTCATAGTATTTTTCTGCCATTTGCAACACCATGTATGAACTGGAGGACACTATACTAAGTGAAATAAGCCAGACATCAAAGGATAAATACTGCATTATTTCACTGATAGGAGGACTCTAAAATAGTCACAAACACATAGACACAGGGGTCAGGGGGAGGGGAAATGGGAAATGGTTGCTCACTGGATATAAAACTTCTGTTATGCAAGATGAATAAGTTCTAGAAATCTGCTATAGTGCGGTATTGTGCACTTAAAGTGTCAAGAGGTTAGGTCATAAGTGTTCTTACCACACACACACACAGAGAAAGAATATTTAAACTTTTCTTAAGGTGATGGTTATGTTTATTATCTTGATTGTGGTGTTGGTATCATGGTTGTATGCATATGTTTAAACTTATCAAGATATATGGTATACATTCAATAGGTACAAATTTTTATAAATCTTATACCTCAATAAAGCTAAAAAGAAAAGATAAACTCTTGTGGAAAACAAACTGAATGATTAGAAGCATTAGAAGGTTACATTCAGAAACTCTGTTTTTTATTTTATCTAGGAACACTAGTGATATACATGAAATGTAAACTGCGATTAATAATAACATGGCTTATTATTTTTGTTAGCAGAAGGAGAACCCAAGGTCCAGAAGATCTAATGTAAAGAAACCACAGCACAATAAAAGAACCTCTTAGTGACTGGAAGGTCTGCCTTCCAGAGTTAGGAAAACCCCCGTTCCTGCAAGTACTGAGCAAAAAGCGCCAGAGACGCTGGGAATGGGATGACTGCTTAGGGGTGTGGGTAACCACTGCTCAAGAAGTAGGTCAGGTGAGCCCCAAAATGTGCATCCCTAACACCTTACCACGTGATGCTGGTCAGGGCTCGCAACTTGAGAACCACTGCACCTAGAGAGGGGCATTTTCCCAGGTAACAACAGCAACCACAATTTGCCAGCAAAGACAGCCAACCACTCATTACCTAAGATGAATGACTATGATTCCTAGCTTTGGATTAAGGATATTTCTACCATTCCAAGATTTGAAGTGAAATTTATGTTGCCTTTTTTTTTTTTTTTTTTTTTTTTTTTTTTTCCTTTTCCTCCTTCTGGAAAAGAAACCCAGCGGCTCTATGGAAAGAGGAAACCAAACAAAAGTCAGAAACTTTCTCCTCCTGGGATTCTCAGCGAAGCCGGACCTGCAGCCTCTCTTCTTTGGGCTGTTTCTGTCCATGTATTTAGTCACGTTTACTGGGAACCTGCTCATCATTTTGGCCATCAGCTCCAACTCCCACCTCCACACACCCATGTACTTCTTCCTCTGCAACCTGTCCTTGGTAGACATCTGTTTCACCTCCACCACCATCCCAAAGATGCTGTGGAACCTCCAGACACAGAGCAAAGCCATCACCTATTATGGCTGCATCACCCAGATATTTTTTTTCATTGTGTTTGGATGCCTGGACAATTTGCTCCTAACCATCATGGCCTATGACCGCTTTGTGGCCATCTGTCACCCCTTACACTACACTGTCATCATGAGCCCTCGGTTCTGTGGACTGCTGGCTCTGGGGTCCTGGTGCATCAGTGTTACAGGCTCCCTGCTTGAAACCTTGACCACCTTGAGACTGTCCTTCTGCACAAACATTGAAATCCCACACGTGTTCTGTGATCTCCCGGAAGTCCTGAAACTCACCTGTTCTGACACCTTCATCAATAACATGGTGGTATATTTTGTGACTGTTGTCCTAGCCGTTTTCCCCCTCTCTGGGATCCTCTTTTCTTATGCTCAGATTCTGTCCTCCATCCTGAGGATTTCCTCAGCTGGCGGCAAGTACAAAGCTTTCTCCACCTGTGGGTCCCACCTGTCAGTGGTCTCGTTGTTCTATGGCACAGGTCTGGCGGTCTACCTCAGTTCTGCAGCCACTTCATCCTCTAGGACAAGTTTGGTGGCTTCGGTGATGTACACCATGGTCACCCCCATGCTGAACCCCTTCATCTACAGTCTGAGGAACAGGGACATGAAGAGGGCCCTGGGGGGACTCCTTATTGGAAATAACTGTCAGGAATAATGCAGTTATAGGACTCCGATGAGTAGCTGAACACACAATACTGAGGACCAGAAATCCTGGCTTCTTTTATCCAATATTTTTCTTTCTTTTTTTTTTAATATGTTTCATTGATTTTTTAGAAAGCAATAGAGAAATTTTTATTGGATGAGAGAGAAACATCCATCTGCTGCCTCCTGTACGTCCCCTACTGGGGAGCAACCCCAAAAATCCAGGCATTGTGCCCTGACTGGGAATTGACCCAGTGACCTCTTGGTTCCTAGGTCAACACTCAATCACTGAGGACACAGGCCAGGCCATTTTCTTAAATTTATATGTTTTAAATCAAAACTTTCCTTGGGTCTTCTTTGTTCTCTCACTGTTTTCCTTCAGGTCTTATCTTGGATTCTCTTTTTAACTTTACAACTAGTCATTTTAACTTTATGTAAAGAAAGCCTGGTGTTTTCTCAGTTATCTTAAGTAATGGTTTGGATTTTTAAAAAATATTAAGTCTCATACTGAATCTCCTATATGGAGACTCTGTGCCCTGCTTTGGTCACAGGAGTTCAGGATTATGGAGGTGGACACAGAGCTTGGCTTATTCCCAGGGCGCTGCCTGCTAAGCCAGGATCACTTCTAGGGCAGCTGCATTAATCTCCAGATGTGATGTCTAGGTTCCCTTGGTTCCCAGGTAACTCGTTAAGAAAGCCTCATTTCAACTCGCCTGTCATGTGCCCATGTGTCTCTTTGCAGCCTACCATCTAGATTTCCAAAAGTGAAATGTAAGAGTACATTTTTTTAATTTTTTCAACTGTTAAGATTATCTTCCTTGAAAGATTGAAGGAGGCAATGATAACCCTTTTTCCTCTGACATTGCTTTTGGTAAGGGTTTGTCAATGTTATCAGAGTTAAATTGGAATTAATGTCAACTAACCAAGAAGACAAAATAGAGCTCTCAAAAAATGTCTCTGGCTTTTAAAATCAGAAGTGATGTGATGTGCACCTAGTTTGGAAGCAAGTGCCCTGCAAACTCCTTCTCAAAGATGATTTCTGAGGTGATGTGAAATCCAGCCAAGTTGCAGAATATGAAATCAATGTGTAAAAATCCATTGATCATATGAACATGCAAAGAGAAGAGAGCCATCTATCAGCTAAGGAGAGAAGCCTCAACAGAAGCCAGTCCTGCTGACAACTTGATCTCAGCGTTTCAGCCTCCAAACGTATAAGAAAATTCATTTCTGTGATTTAAGCCTTCCAGTCTGTGGTACTTTGTCATGTGGCCCTAGCAAAGTAGTATATACCCTGCTCCTACAAGGAGCACACTGGAAACGCAGACCACTGACCATGGGGTGGTGTGAGGTCAGAGGCTGGATGTCTGCTTTGAGCCTGGGATCCCAGGCAGAGTTCCCCAGGGTCAAATGTGGAGTAGGATGTTTTACAGTGTAAGCCTCAAGGTCTCCTTGTGGTGAACTGGGCACAAATTCATAACCAGAATCTAGCAGCCTCCCCTGCACTATGTTCCTGCCGTCTGAGTCTACCCTTAAGAGAGTTCCTGGTATCATCTTTCAATCCATGGGCCGAAACCTGCCTTATCTTGCAACTACACAGTAACATTTTCATTTGCATCTATACTGACCAATCAGAGCAGCTCCATGATGATCAATCAGATCACATGATGCTGACCAATCAGGATAGTGCTAATTGGACCAATCAAACTGTACCCATTTGATTCCTCATTCGCCAAAAAAATGGACCAATTAGAAACCAGGGCGGGAACTTTTCTCTGTAAAAGACAGACTCCCTTTGCCTCAGCAGACACACTTTCAATTTCCACCAGAGGGTGCATTTCCCTTATTTGCAAACTGTTCACCCAACTAATGTCTCTCTTGTCCACACCTCAGATTGGGGACTTTTGTTAACAATAATCAGAAGAGGCTCTTGCCTTTGCATGAATTGTTTCTCATCTCTGACCATAAATATCTCCATGGTAACTACAAATAGATTAAAGAATTCTAGAATTCTCTTCCAAGTTCTCTCAGTTGTTTATGTCCAATGGTTCTCTTAGGATCCTAAAGATTGGGGTGGGGGCATTCCAAAACATACCTGTGCTTGAATATCCCTTGGAAAGGATAGGTGCTTAAGTGAAGCTTCATTTCACTTAGGAAAAAAATGAATGTCATGTTTCCTGGACAAAAGGATCATGGAGTTGAGTTACCTGATAGGTAGAATCGTTTTACTCTCTGTTTACTTCACATGTGTTTTCCCCATACCTTTATCAAGATCCCACCTGGTTTACTAGACCGCAGGAAAATAATGCTAAGAGGCCAATATCCACTCTTGTGTAGTTAGGAAACACAGAGCCCACTGACACTAGCATGGGGGTGGGGTGTCTAGGCCAATTGCTCTCAGAAATCAAGAGTTGGAGTTATTCATCCCCATTGAAAGCTGCTTTCTCTATTCTCAACTGAGGATTGTATGAAATAAAAGATTAAGTCAGAGGGCTAGGGGTGCTCAAAGATTGGATCATCATTGGTTCCTGAGTGGTGACCTTTGAGCCCTTGGAATATATTGCCTGGTAAAAGTGCCTTTGGCCTGCCTGGTAATTGAGATTGACCTATGAACCAAAAGGTCAAGTTTCGATTCCTGGTCAGGGCACATGTCTGGATTACAAACTTAATCTCAATAGAGGGCATACAGAGGCAGTTGATCCATAATTCTCTCTCATCATTGTTTCTATCCCTCTCTCCCTATCTCTTCCTCTCTGAAATCAGTAAATATATTTTTTAACTATTACATTATTTTTAAATCATAAGAAAATGGGGTTTTTAGTTATTTATTTATTTATCTTCATCCTTACATGAGGATTTTTTCCATTGATTTTTCGAACAAGTGGAAGAGAGAGGGAAAGACAGAGAAATAGTGATGTGAGAGAAACTCATGGATTGGTTGCCTCCTGCACCTGTCCCAAGCAGGGCCTGGGCTGGGGAGGAGCCTACAACCAAGGTACGTGCCCTTGACCAGAATTGAACCCAGGAACCTTCAGTCTGCGGGCTGACTGACGCTCTCTCCACTGAGCCAAACTGACTAGGGAAAAAAAAATTTTTTTTCAAGTGTCTTTGTGTGCTTGTAGTCTTGAGCTATGCCAGGTAGTCTATGCTGGCAGTGTAATGTACAACAAATGCCTGGTTTTGTTCACTGGACAATGCTGTATTCCTTTGATCTCTGGGGGAACTGAAGAATGAGTAATTAAGATCAGCAGGCACTTCACACTCACAAAACAAACTCCTAATAAAAAATCTGGACACCAAGGGTCAGGTGAGATGCCCCAGCTGGCAACACTTTATGTGTTGTCATGCATTGTTGGGGTCAGAAAAAGTGACAGCCATGCAATTCCACTAAGAAGGGAGAACTGGAAGCTCATATATGATGTCCCCTGGACCCTGCCCCATATGTTTCTTGCCTTTGCTGATTCTAATCTGTGTCCTTTCACTACAATAAACCAGAAATGTGAGCATTGAAGCTTTTCTAAGTTTTGTAAGTCCTTTGAACCGATCATGGAACCTGAAAGTGGTCTTGAGGACCTCCAACACAGAGGCCATGGATATTGTTTTATTATAATAAAAAAAAATAGCGGTTTTCCTTTACCTCCTTCAATTACACTGCTGCTTAAGAAAATAAGGAACATGAGATGACCCCTCACCTTTTGAACCTGAAGTTTCCTATACCCACAACCCCAGGAAAACCATTTCCAATTTCCACCTTTGCCCACCCTCCCTCAAGTTCTCAGTATAAGCTCAGAGAGAAATGAAGACTATGGACATCCTTTCATTCCTGCTCCTTTATCTTAGTTTCCCCCAAACACGTCAAACAGAATATGTGTTCAGGGTGTGGGTCATTCAGGTAGTGGGTCTTTCCCAAGACACCCCTCACATGGCACTCTCATTGCCACCCCGTCCCCTGGATGCCCCCTTCTCTTGAGTCATGAGTGACTTGTAGGGCTTCCCCAGGCTGGGGAGGGTGAGCTCAGCTTCCTGCAGATCTAGCTCCCGCTGAGACAAATGCTCAATGACAGCTGCTCCAATGGCGTCCCCCAGCACATTGGTCATTGTGCGAAGCCGATCCCTGGGGAAGGAAGAGAAGAGAATATTAATCATTAACTTCCATTAAGGCTGGAAGGGCACCAGAGGGGAGATAATACAGCAGAGGGGGTTCCCTATGTCTGCGAGTTGGGAGGGTTCACATTCCAATCCAATTCCAGACCAAACAGGTTGCCTCCCCTCTCTGCCCTCAGGTCCCCTCCCAACAGAAAGAGAATGAAGAGGAATGAGTAATCAAGGTCAGCTCTGATATGCTCACATTTGATCTCAGCAACACAAATTTTTTTAAGGATGTAAACATTCATTATAGAGAATTAGGAGTTGTGAGCTGAAGAGTATACAGAATGAGGAAGTCCAGACTTATTTTATGTAAACCTCCTATGATGACGCTGACAACGCCTTGCCATAATAGCAGTGAGCAGCTGTGTGTCACTGCAGGTTGCCCAGGACCAAACCAGAGAGGGTTGGACCTGCATTATCACCATTTGTCCACCATCCAGAACTGAAATATCATTGTTGACATGTACACATAAGGAACTGTTTGACATTGAAATTGGGTCTCAAAAGAACTTTTGGCCCAGAAAGAAACTCACTACTGACTGATTCATTTGCCTTTCAGCATAACCATTATTGCTGGTCTCATTTTTGATTCTTATAAGTATATTTCCAGTAGGACATGATCTCACTCATCTAGGGGAAATGGTGAACAACATAGACTGATGAACAAGAACAGACCCAGAGACAAGGAGCCATGGATCAGACTGTTGGACCTCAAAGGGAGGGTGGGGATAAAAGGGAGAGATCAACCAAAGGACTGTGTGCCTACATAAGAGCCTAACCAGTGGTCAAGGACAATGGGGGGGTTGGGAGCATGAGTGGGGAGAGGTAGGGGATTGGAATGGGGGGTTGAGGACAAATGTGTGATAC